ACATTGTAGCAAGAACAGAATCATTTATTATCCCGACTTTCCTTTCATCTGATTAATCCAGCACGCTAAAGTTCAAATTTGTCTGTTCTTGCCGCGTCCAGCTGAATAATTATGCACCTCATTACTTACTGCTCATTAAAATATAAAAATCTGCACAGAAGCAGCATATCTTTAAGTGACCCGAAAAATAAGAAAGATTTGTCAATGGCTGAAGAGTGCGCAACAGAAGATGAAAATAATGATAAAATCGCGGTCAGTTGTCACTTGCAAGAAGCGACATTAGTATGCAGCACACAGTAAATTAATGATTAAGGTCTAATCGTGTGAAAAAAATTAGCAGCAGCATTAGTAGATTGTTGAGGAGCTGAAAATGATCATGACGAATGTGTTTTGATGTTTAAATTGATTTATATTTGACATGTGAATGCATAGATTGCCATTTGTCACTTGCGCAAAAATTGATCTTTTTCAAATTGCGTGCTACGACCGCGAAGATATGCCTGCCAGCTATGATATTATTTCAATGAAATACTTTTTGATAATCGTCAACTGCACAGCCAATAAAAATGCCATATCAATTACGTGTGTAAATGACAAATTGCGAGAATTTTCACAAAAAATAAAAACAATCTTTGATGGAATTGGAACTGCCATGTGCATGTGTTAATTCTTTTTACAATCTCGATTGTCCGAAATTCCATGATAATTGCACTTGCCACAGCAATTAATCTCCATTTTTCCCCTCTTATTGCTCTTTAAATGCATCACAAATTTGGGCTTGTTCAATAAGTTTTTTTTAAAGGTAAAGGCAGCAGCGTTTGTGAGTTCATTTACACATGTCAACTTACTTTTTTTACAGAAACTTTAAAAAATTATGCGTGGAACTGCATAATTTCTGCTGTGTACACAAATAAAAAAAAGTTCGTGATTTATTCATGTCTTGGGCTGTAAGTTTTAAGTTGCAAGGGATTGGGACATGATTGGGAGTTGATTTTGATCTTGTGAACTATCTTTGGGGTCAGTGACTTATAAACTCACTGTTGGATGGCTTAAAGTAGCTCCAGATGCATGGTACACAGTGTAGGAGTACTCTAGACTTCCTATAGCTGTTTATTCAAATATTTGTAAAAAAGCATGACATGAAGATTTACTAAGAGTATAGCCATGATATAGTTTAAGGTTTCTAGTGTTATATCCTTAGACTTAACTCCTTAAACGGTTTCAAAAGCTACCCTGTTCATTCAGTACATCGATTTTCGATTCTAGGGCAGGTTCCTCTTACAAGTTTTTGAATTTCAGCATCTATAACAGTGCCGCTCCTGATATTAAAAGCAGCTGTTCCTCAAGACCTCATCATCTTGGTAATTCAATACCACATCCCCAAAAGAGTTCCATTCCCCTGCCATCCACCAGAAAAAAAAAACTCCAACTTCATACTTTTTTTGTTACTTTCAATTGATATGGATATAGTTCGCTCTCCACAAAAGGTCAACATGAATAAATTTAACCAAGAGTAAATAAAGTATTGAATGAAGAACAGAGAGTCATGACAGTCATATATCCGATGTAGGGCATTGAATGTCAAATTGATGTGATGATAGGACGACGCATGTAATAAAAACAGAAATCTTTACGACGTATGGTGCATGTGGATCGTAAAGTATTGTAAATAAAAAGATTCGAAATGAAGCGATGAGAAGACGGACGAGAGTTTATTAATAGCTACTCATATATTTTAAAAGTGGAATTTGCTGAGTTGATGAAAGATTTAAGATTTCAAGTATGGCAATGTCTTCATCATAATAGTAGTAATAATGATAATTAGTTGACGTTCATGTGTTTAAAAGTGGGTAGGGAATGAAGAGGATCTTTGAAGATGGTATGGTACGTTGAAGGTGCTTGATCATCAAACTTTGATGACTAATTCTACATAATATTTAATTTTTTCGATACGATTTTCTAGCAGATTAATAACCAATTTCGGTTTTATTTTGGACAGATTTTTATCAGATTTTAGATCCATTTATGCCAAATTTCGGTCATAGATTTCTATCGGATTTTGGACAGAATTCTATCAGATTTTAGACAGAATTCTATCAGATTTTGGACAGATTTTTATCGGACTTTTGGACAGATTTCTATCGGATTTTGAACAGAACTCTATCAGATTTTGGACAGATTTCTATCGGATTTTTGACAGAATTCTATCGGACTTTTGGACGGATTTCTATCGGACTTTTAAAATTTTTGTACGGATTTCTTTAACCTCCAAACACTTTAATCCTTAAAAATAATTCTCACATAAAACCTTGTTAAAAACATATTTTGTCAATCTAAAATAAAATAAAATATATTCAAAAAGTAAAAGTAAATGCTACTTGAGCAAATCATCCCAAGATGAAAGGTTAATTGATGTTTTCTCATATCCAATAAAATAATAATTAATTTGAAATTTGTTGCCTTCATATTTAAAGTACATCGAATGACTAAGCCACAATCCAATGACCATAAACAAGTCACAACACGACTTATAGAAAAAATATTTGCAAACACTAAAGGATTTTAAGGCTGGACATGTTTTTAAAAAATAGGAAGTATTGAAGATTAATAATTAAACATAAAATTTGTCTCTTTGACATTCAATTAACCAGCAACACCTCTTTATTGACTTAATTTATTAATTTTTGATGAATCATAATTGAGTATAAATGAAGTTCTTATGTGATTATCTTCTGATCACGCTTTCATTTTTAAAATTCACTTTCAAGGGCATTTAGAGCTTAGTTTTTAAAATGCGTGGCGATGAGATGGTCGAGCTATGATGAAGGCAATGCGAATAGAATATTTGAGGGAATTAAGATCAAGTCATGAGCTAGCAACCCTTGATTTAGTCGATTTCTAAAGCTATCTGTGGCACTTATCCTAGTTGACCACATGTAAACCTAGAAACAAGCCACAGAAATTAAAATCCTGACCTGATCATTAATCCAAAAATGTCCAGAGTCAGAAGAAGTGTTTAAACTTCAAAAATTGCAAAACCAGGATATGAACCAATCACTTTTGAGTTACAACTTTTAATTTGAACAAATCACCTTACAGTCAACTTCACAAAAGGCATTCAAATGCTTAATGTTGATCATTCCCTGCCCATATTCTAAAACAAACAATCAACAACGCACTTTTAAATGCCATTTCCTTTATCCAACCTCAACTATGCGTGCACTTTAAGAAAAATAAAATTAGTTCATACCATATAAGATCCCTAAGTCACGATAAACTCTTTGCTATTTTCGAATGGTAATGCTGACAATATTTTTTTATTTTTATATTGTCGATGCGGAAATTCCGAAGAACATGCAAATTTTGTTTTAAATCTAAAATGAGTATCTTAACTGATGTGTGACTGAATAAAGTTCTTATGACTTCACATTTAATTAAAATATTCTTTCAATCTCGCTTGCTACTTCCATTATTAATCACTCGATCTTTACAATTCCAATTCAGAGGTGCTAAACTGTATATCCAATTAGCAATAAATTATTCGGAGATGATCGTAATTCATTTGAAATCTTTATTATTTATTGAATGTCATAAAAGGTTTCATGATGAAGCCAATGAAGCTAATTGATGCTCTTGAAACGGATCTAGGATCTTCATTACAATTGCCAATTATTATATGGAACTAATTAAATCCGAGAATGTTTACAGGTGATTTATTAGATTCGCGCATCAATTTACAATTGTGATGTGTTAATGCCTTCGAATATAGTCGTTAATAGACAGTCAATATATGAGACGAGCATGATGATGATGCTGAATTTCTATAGAGTTTTGAGTTTTTTACATGAATTCATCTTGAATTGCTTGCTTGACTGTGATGATCGAATGCTGCTTTGCTTTTATGAGAAGATGTTGGAGGAATGTGTTGAATGCTTTGCTTTTTTAATGCTTGATTTATTGTCGATATGGAAGATTTTATGGCAAGCTTTAAAATTTATAGAAAATTTAGATTTGAGTATGTTCAAAGCTCTTTTTATGAGCTTTGAGTTATTGGAAGTTTAAATTGAAGAACTTCAACTGGACCGGATTAATACTTGACGAATGTCACAGGGAAGGCTGGACTTCTTAAAAATTTAAATTCTCCTGCATGTTGAACAGCTAGTTTAAGCCTAGTAGCCCAGTTAAACCAGGTTAAACTTAAAGTATGCTATATAAGACTTTCAGTCCAAGACTAAATTTAAAAATTGGCAAGCAGATTGATTTAGATACTAAATAGCGGTAGTAAGCAAATGAGCAAGTTACAGGTGCTATCTGAGGGATTATTCCATGAATCATAATTGATCTCTCGTGACAGCAAAATAATCCAGTAAGTAAGCAAACATCTTCTATAGCTTCTATCGACCCTTTAAAGCCATTCAATCTTCCAAAATTCCCAACAATCCAATTGATCAATTCTATCAAGTCCATCAACAAAACAAACGCAGGTAATCGTTCAAAATATCAGCAGATTATAGTAGGAAGTATCCAATGTTAAAAAATATTACATGTGAACAGGGGCGTAGCCAGGGGGGGGGGGCCATAGGGGGCCCGGGCCCCCCCTACGAAAATCTGATAATTGTTTTATTAAGTATTTATAGAGAAGAACCAGTTAATGTAGAGAAAGTGATGAAAGAAATGTCAAAATCAGCACGAAAAATTAAATTTAATGTATGAATAATGAATTAAATACTTAAACTTATGAACAATGAATATTGATTTAAGGATACAAAATAACGGTTTTTTTAATTTTCGCAAATGGGCCCCCCCCCCCTTAAAAATTTTCTGGCTACGCCCCTGCATGTGAAGCACGAGACTATCCACAAAGAATCTATTGTAGCGTACGAAATGACAACATTGAAAAATGTCACAGACCGATGACTTTTTGTTAGTAAAACTTCTTATAAATCTGCTAAATTCATACTAATTGATAATCAATGACTGCAAACAGCAGTCGTAAAATATATAAAATGACTTCTCGCTATTAGTATAGCTTCATTACAGGCAGTAATATGAACAGAATATTTTTTGCGGTAGGTATGTTTTAAATTTTGCAATTGGCTTTATTATTTATGACATTTCTGCATTCCAGCTCCTCATCATCTCAGCACTAACAACGGAAATTCTTCCTGCCTTCATCGGAAAATGCAGACTTGACGATGATTGTTCAATAGATCAAGCTTGTGTCGATGGAATTTGTGATGATCCATGTGATGAAAGTTGTGCTGAAAACTCCAGCTGTACACCACTGTATCATGGTGCTTATTGTATTTGTAATGATGGATTTACAGGAGATCCATTTGAGAAATGTTATGAAATTTTTGATCAGATTGATGAGAATTTGTTGTGATTTTTGAGAAATGATTTTTTTAATATGAATTTTTTGAGAAATTTTAATGGAAGTTCACTAGATCCAGATGGTCTTACTGAGTTGTGTACCTACATATTTGTGAATCAACAATAAATCGACTTTAAAAGACATTTTAAATCGGATTTCAAAAGCAAACTTCTTTATAAAATAATCAGCACAGTGTTAATTGATTTGGTATTGTTGACTCTTTCTTGGCAGGTCTACTTGTAATGTTTTTAGTTCAGTTCTAATATTGAAAGTGAAATGACAAGATTGTTATTATTGGTAAATATATTTTTAATGTTTTGTTGATCTTGAAGTCAGTGTGATATCTACAAGAGGTCAATAAATGCTTTGGACATCGGATATAAAGGTTATTAACTCTAGCTTGCCTATCATTTTTATTTATAGACTTCATTGATTCTCCTTTTAATGCCTAACATCCACACTTACGTTAATCAATGCTCAACAGACAACGATTGCCCTTATGAAAAATCATGTAATGCACAAATCTGCAGTGACCCATGCATTGGAAGTTGTGGCTATAATACAACATGCATACCAATGAGCCATAGTGCTTACTGCTCGTGCAAACCTGGTTTTACTGGTGATCCATTTGATATTTGTTACGAGGATTATGATCAAGATCCATATGATGAATATCTTTGTGGACCGTACTCAAAGTTTGTGAATGTAACAAATGTTGATGATTCTTATTGCTTGTGCCTGTCAACATTTAGAGGTAGACCTCCAAATTGTACTTTTATTGATTGTTATACTGATGATGATTGCTATTGGAATGAAAATTGTGATTTTAATGAATGTGTAGATCCTTGTGATCCAAATCCATGTGGATTGAACTCTGAATGTAGAAGTGAAGGTCACCAAAGGGCCAGATGCTCATGTGATTTTGGATATTTTCCAGAAGCTGATTTTGGATGTCGATTAGAGAAGCCTGAAGATAAATTAGTGTCCGTTGAAAGGATAGAAGCAAAACTTAATGGACTCTGTGGATCAATTTGCGGGATTAATGCTTACTGTAATATAAATGGATTTTGTGTTTGTACTGATGGATATTTAGGAGATCCAAGAGTCAAATGTGATTTAAATCAGATTAAATTATCAGAGCGAGAATGCACACCAAATCCATGCGGACCATACTCAACTTGTTCTTATTTTAATAGCACTCTCAACTGTTCGTGCCTTCCCGGCTATATTTCAACTCCACCAAAATGTACCAGATGTAAAAATGACAAAAATTGTCCAAAAAACCACATTTGCATAGCAGGAGAATGTACAGAAAATCCATGTCTTCCTTATTGTGGATACCAAGCAAGTTGTAAAATTTATGATGGAAAGATTGAATGCTATTGCGAGGAAATCAACAAATACAATCCATTTATGGAATGTCCACGTCTTGTTGATACTGATCACATCTGCGCAAATGCTAATCGTCCAGAATGTGGAGTAAGTTTGGCACAGATTTTCAAGCATTACTTCTTTAATGGATTGGATTATGATGATGATGAAAAGCATAGAATTGGAATTGAGGAATGATTAGGCTACTTTATCTCTTCTCCGTCATATTCTGCACTACAACATGGTCGAACTAACAATTTAAGACATTAAAGTATAAGATTTAAAATCAGTTTATTGACTTTTAAGTACATATCCAATATATTTGCGTCCTTAAATCAGAAATTACTATTAAATTGAGATTGAATGTTATTAATTAGGTTTTTTATTGCAAAATCAAGATTGGAAAGGATTCAATTGCTCTAAACTCAACAATGTGGTCTTTAAAACAACTTTTTGTAAGATCAACAAGTCACACTTCATTATCGGACTTAGATGGATTAAAATAATCACGTAACTTATCGACAGCACGGAATCGATGAGAAATTTTATTCTTAGTTGCTTTTGGGAGTTCTGCATAAGTCTGATCATAATCAAGGGGTTGGAAAATAGGATCCCATCCAAAATCTCGAGGTCCACGGGGTGCTACAATTGTTCCTGTAAATAAAATTGTGAATTACTGAAGTTTACATCATCAAAAAGTGCTAAAGTACCTTCTGTGACTCCCTGGAAAAGAACAACTTCCGAATGCTGATCTCTACAGAATCCCAAAGTGCAAATAGCATTAGCTGTTTTGTCTTCGAATCCATCAAGTAGTTTATATAGATTTTCAGGTCCAAGTTTCTCAAGGAATGATCTAATGTATGGTCCAGGTAAACCATTAAGAGCATTGAAGCACAAGCAAGTATCTTCAACAACAACTGCTCCTTTGACTCGTTTAGCTGCTTCTTTTGCTTTTTCAGTAATAATATCATCAATTTCACCTTGCAATTCCGGCAAATCAATTCTAACGCTGTCAACTTTGTATGGAAATTTATGTCCCAAAATTGATTTGATTTCCTCTAATTTCTTAGCATTTCCTGTTACAAATGTCAGTGTTCTAGACATTTTTAAATTGTTATTTCTCTTGCAATTAAAATTTCAAAATTAAGCACTTGATTTTGTTGTGGATGTAAACAATAATAAGCGGCAAGTATGTGGACAGTAGTTTGATGTGGCTGTGGACTGGGCGTTTAATTATTTTTGTTCTAATAACTCCTCTGTGAGCTGGATTTGATTCATGAAGTTGGGAATTTATAGATACTTCAATGATTCTTGACGGTACAGATCCATTTTTCCATGTCTAAGTGTCTGCCTTATAGACAACAATATGAGACAATGTGACTTTCTATGACTGCATTTCGACTGAAATTTCGATAAAAACATATAAATTCCTCAATGTCCGTTAGATGGCGTTTCTGTTAAGTTAGAAGAAATATATGACTGACTTGACATGCTGCAAAAGATAAGTTGCTACTTTTTAAAAATATTTTAAAATTCCAGAAATTAATTTTATTTTTGACAATTTTTGAAAGTTTGATTGTTAAAATTTAGGAGAGACAATCATGTTGTAGACATATCTCCTCTATACAGGAGCTTTGGTCTTATATAACAGTATCGAATATATCTATAAACAGATTAATCAATTGGGAAACAATAAAACTTCTAAAGTTCGAATCTTTAAATTTTTCTATAAATATAAACCATTTTCGGTCTAAACGCTTTTTTGAAGAAATTTTTATTTTTTTTAATGTAGACTCAACAGCAGGCTCACTCTTAGCACCTTAAATACCGCGAAGATTTCCATTGGCAATTGGCTGTCGCTTGGTTCTAGTTATACTTTCAACCACGCTGCAGAACCCAGAAAAATTCATCAGTTAATAAAACAATTAACGTTTCAGATTATCTCCTATTAATCCACTAATCGGAAGCTTTTATCTGCTCATTTATGATAAATTTCATTAAATGCTGTGTAATTTATTGCCCCACAAAAGAAATTGAGCAAAAAAAAATCTTAATTAATTCACATCCAATTAAATAATTTGTTCCATTATACAATCAATGTTTGTTATTAAATGCTTGTTAGTTGCAGGGAATCAAGAGAAAGAAAGAAGATGATGGAAAAAGGTTCGCAGATGAATGCACAAAATTTATGCTTACTTACCATGTGAATAATGTTTACTTACCTTTTGCAGAGCGTCTTGTTAATGTCGTAATTGAACGTTTGTGTTTTTTGTATCATTTGCTGCTACTAATTCATCATCATATGAATGAATGAATGAATGGATCTGTATTCATTAAATGGGAATGTAAGTCAATTGGTGAGAAAAACTTGCAATGTGGAAACTTTTAATTGAGTGAGTAAAGGCGCATTTTAAACAGTTTTGGGACATGCTGTGATAGTTTAAAGCTCTGAATTGAGATGCTGGATGTAAGTAGAGATGTGATGTTGTTAATATATGGGATTATGTGAGTCTGACTTAGATCCAGTGAAGAAGATTGCGCTCAGAATGTGTTTATTAGGTTTCTGACACCTGATTTCCCAATTGGTAGCTTCTTTACCTCTTAAATAATCTACGAATCTTTGCTTGCAGCCAGGAGGGTCTTGTCCTCCTCTTAAGCGTTTTAGGCCGTGCTCTCACTGCGGTTCAAAACATTTAAGGGGGGAAGAAGGCACTCCTGGCCAGGCGTCTATCAAGAATAATAACTTTAGTCAAAGCACTCCTTATTGAACAAATTGCCAGTAGTTGTTATTGGTTTAAAAGATTATAAACTTTATAATTTGTACTTACAAGGGTTTAAATCCCGAAAATATACTTTCTTATATACTTAATTCATATTAATCTGTCTTTTTTGATGAAATTTACAAGCAATATTTCATTAATAATTAAACAACTAGCTTTTCCCGATAACTCTCCACCAAACTGAAATAAAATCTCATTTTTCCTAGTTCCAGCAAACCTATAAACAAGCCACACACATATTTTTCTTGTTATGTCTCAAAACATTATTTTTTTTTCTTCTTCATTTCATCTTTATTTATAACAATTTTGCTTTTGTTTTGCTTTCTTTACACAATCAATGTGCTGTTCACATGCTTAATTCGTACAAAAATTTGACATAAAATAATATTATTAAATTAAAAGTAATGATGATAAGTTTGATGAGAGAAACAAAAAAATGATGCCACATGTTTTTTTTATGTACACAGTTGGGGTGAGAGTAGAAGTAGCAATAATCAGCTTAGTCATCTTCAGGTGTCAATTTAATAGTAGTGACCATTTTCATAATGTCCAGCATCATATTGTCCATTGTCGTAGTGACCGTTGTCGTAGTGTCTATTGTCATAATGTCCTGCATCATATTGTCCATAATCTGAATAATCGTAGTGGTTCAATGCTGGTGCGTGATGAGCATAATGAGCTGTTTTGGCAACTGTAATGAAACGTTTTAAAGGACAAAAGCACGAAAGTATTAATGTTAATGATTATTTGACTTGAAAAGTTCATCAGCTTTAGCATGGCTGGTCACGTTTTGCAGTTGCGATTGCTCTAGTTTTAATTTAGACAAAAGGGGGTTTAGTGACTTGTTGTTGGAACCAACAGCTGTTGCTTTTCATGTCTGTAGCTTCAAATCAAGCTATAGACTCAAAAATAATATTTCACACCTTTTTTGTCAAATATTTAGGAAGTGCGCCACAATCAATCAATTTCATGTCTATGTCTCACCTAAAACTTATGCTCAGCATATCTAAAAAGCCAAATAGCCACAAGCTATCCACTTATCTGACAATAGCAACTAGAAATACATCCGCTATCTACGGGAAGGTTCTTATAAGCTTGAGGTCGTGGCAATTATGTTATACAGTCAACAGTCATGACATGCTGAATTAAAAGAATGAAAATCATCGAATAAGATAGACAGACAATGGACAATAAAAGTGAAAATTCTTTATAAACATAAAGTCTCTCTGTAGCTAGCTGTATCTGCCGCGAGAAAATCTTTTGTGCATGTAAATTTGAATACAATTGTGATTTGTCATTGGACCACATGTATTCATACTCGGCGCGATGTGCAATAGAATTTCGTGAATAATAGACTATATTTTAAAGTACATAAATTCTATAATAAATCTTAAACTGAAACGTGGGAGATTCACTTTTTTACATAGTCATTAATAATTGATGGCAGAGGTGGGGATCGATGGGGGTTTTGGAGAAGTAGAAGCTGAAGCTTGGACTTGCAGGCATCAATAAAGACGATTGTAATGCTTTCTAAGGAAGATCGTGGATTAAAATTGATATAGATTGCTATAGAAAGAAGCAAGTAAGGATAGCTTGAGTTTGGACGGTATTTTGAGGTTATGTTGAATAAAAAACTGAACTATTAAGCTACATTTGGATTTTCGAAATCAAGATAGCATCGAATATTTAACAGATTCCTTAAGTTTAAAGTCTTAACTTGATTTTGGAATCTGTGTTTTTTTAGTCTATCGAAATTAAGTAGCTATGCTTAGTAAAAAATACAAAATGAAGCATCAGAATATGTTGGTTCTATAACATTCATGATATGGACCAAAATATGATCAATGTTGAAGCTCATAAAGTTACTTTTCTATGATTATAATGTGAAAGAGCGATAGAGAGACTCTACATGTGTCTATAAATGGATGAACGAAATTTTTAAAATTCCCAAGCCGCCCAACTCTGCCAAACATCATACAGTAGTCAACAGTTGTTTTACTCGATCATCAAAACACAAAAAACACACATCACGAACACAAAAAAGTGCAGATGATTTATTGACACAGGCGTTTCAAAATGTCAGCTTCCTTTTACGTCTTCTATTCATCTCACAACAAATATTATTATTAGCAGCTCTAATATTGAGTGCTTAACTAAATGAACCACATTAAAAAAATGTTGATTTATTCCTGAACTTTCAGTAGCTTCATAAATGTCTTTAATGACTTTCAATTTAGTCTAATTTTTGTTGTTGTATCTGGATGATCAGTTTGACTTTTTAATTTATTTAAACACCAGCTGAATGACTTATTAATTTATTTGCCAACAGTCTACCTTGCAACATGAAAATTTAGCAAATCGCATCATCATTACATGATGACTACACCACAATGCTCCATTAAATTCATTACAATTTGATGCTTTTTTCTAATTATTAAGTCACTCCAACACGCAACTGACATTGAAAGAGACTAAATTAAGAAATTACTTACCAAGTGGTGCTGATTTATAGATGACTGGTGCTGGAACTGGAGCAATGAGTTGTTTGTGAACAACTGGAGCTACTGCGTGAACTGGAGCAACAACTTTGGTGGCATGGACTGTTGGACCTGTCTTTGTGACGACGGCGTTGAATCCGTTGATGTCATCGGCTGTGTAGTCAACCTGGGAATGGGAATTTTGAGGTTAGACTTTTTTTTGAGGTATAATTTGGGATATTTTATGCAAGAGGCTGACTTTTGATTAGTTTCAATGAAAATTGACTTGGATATGAACTTTGTCAGATTAAGAAATCAATGGAATTGACAGCATTGAGAAAATTATATGTCATGTCTTTGACTCTCCTAGCTTTGCTCTTGGTTTCTAATGATAGCAAGTTCTTGACTTCGAAGCTTAACTGAGTTCAACTATAAACCTTGAGCTTAGTCAATGATTTAATTATGCTATAGTTACAAGTTTGAGGCAAAATGTTGAACTTTTTGTGAGACTTTCATTTTAAAAACTTTGAAATTAGACTTTTTCGAGTAGAAGAAGCATGAATGCATCTTAGAAATTGTTCAAAAAATCCTCAAGACTTAGAATTGCATTGAAAATATTTCAGAACCTTTCAGAAAATTGTAAAAAATTCACAACGATGAGGTTCGTTGGGATCATACTTACAGTTCTGATTGAACCATCAGGTTCGACGAGTGAGTATTGTCCCTTTACAACACCTCCATCACGAACTTCACTTTGGTGCTTGATGTCTCCTGTTTGATGATCTGTGACTCCATAGTTGAATGAGTATCTTGGATGATCCTGTAGAATTTATCACAGAATTTATTAGATTTTTGCACAAAATTCACAAAACATTGGAATAGCTTAATATTGCCTAAATATCGTGGATTTAAATTTTTTAGGATTTTTTAAAAAATTTTAACTTTTGATTTTTTTTTATTTATTTTAATTTTTTGAAATTTCACCAAATTTCACAAAAACTGAACTTATAAATCACAAACTTAGTCCACACGATATTCAGATAATTTTTCAGCACCACACAAGAACTCACATAGTAGTCAACAGCATGAGGATTATATCCTGGGAATGCCAAAACACCTGACACAGCTAATGTAGCGAAAATAATGAATTTTGTTGCCATTTTAAATTAAAGAATTTTTTTTCAAATTTTTTATTTAATATTTTTTTTTAATGTTGCTCGAATGAACTTCTGACTTGTACTATTCTCTATCGAATTTTATGTTAACTTTATATATGAAAAATGTCTAGCTACTTCAACACTTTTTTTTTTGGAAATAAAAGCACGGAGTTGGAGTTGTGTGGTGGAAAAAGTCTAGGTGGTTTACACACAAATAATCACATCACGAGAGAGTCGAATGAGAATAACAAACAATCGCCGTAATTGCACACTGTGAAAAATTAAAGAAAGAGTTTCGTGATTGTATGGAATTGCTACTTCTGTTGGCTGTTGCTATATTGATCTGTATTTGTGCGGGAGCTGGTTAAAGGGAAAAAAAGCTCAAAATATTATTTTTTTGAGCATAAAAAAGAAGGGATAGAACAAGCCACAATGAAGAGGTCAATGGTGCTGTTTGTGGCGCTTTATAAAAGCAATAATATTATGTGTGAATTTGAATAATAGCTTGAATGTAAATTTTTATTGCGCTTTATCTTTTTCTTAGCAACTTTCCGCAATGATGCTGTGCCTTTGTCTGTGCGTCAGTTAAGATTTTGCCCTGTGGGTTGTAGAATACAATGATCCAGTTCTATGACTCAATTTGCGGAAAAAAGTAGATTTTTTAATAATTCGGATTGATTTGTTTTGTTATGAAATATTGATTATTAGAATTGGATGTTAAAGCAAGTCATAAATGGATTATTTTCGCAAAGTTGCTGTTGATCCGGAAATTTTGCAGAGTTTTTTGCTTCAATATTGTTGGCAAATAAGATCTTAGCTTGATTACACTTCCTAATTAGGTCAATCTCAAGTCAATATTTTTTATTGGCAATTAAATAGATTTGTAGAGTAATTGGCAAAGTTATTGATTCAAATTTGGTGTGATTGAACGAAAGGAGACAGTTTGAATCCCAATTTTGTTAATTAATTGGTTATACAGATCAGATCCTGGAATAACCGTTGGTTCGAATCCTTCAATCTGGGAACTCTTTAACTTTAGTACATACTAAACAGCTGACCCTGAGCTAAATTAAGTCTGATTTATTGACGAAAACAGCAAATTGAATCCAAAAAAATGGGATTCAAAGATTTTGAACTAAGTTTGATTTCAAAATGATGCAATTTTGAGCCTTTTGGATGAAGTATAAAATCTAGACTTAAACATTGATATTTTGATCCTCCATAATCAATAGCTAGTAACACTTATCAAAACTCAAAGCAACAAAATCCCAAAATGCTTTACCTCCAATCCTCACCCCAAAACCTTCCCAAACTCTCCATCAGTTTTGCATCTTTATTGTCCCATATAAATCACCGCCAATCGATCGCACAAGCACAACTGAATCGACAATAAGCATAGAAATTGTCATCATTATCATCGATCCGATTGTATATCAATTTCATATTTTTTCTTACATTTTACTTATTGTTCGACATAATTCAATGGCACAACAATAACAATTGATGAGATGCAAAATGGGGGCCTTGTGGGGAATCTTTTATGTCTTGTATGCAGCAGACAACATGTGAGAAAATAAAATGTGTATTATGATGCAATAAACGTTAACGTATTTAATTGAATACCTTTATGTTGGACATTTAAATACGTAAATGAGAATTTGATCGAAAATGAGATGCTGTCGTTGCTTGTTGATGTGACAAGGGCTGAATTGACGGTCATTGCTGAAATTGAAGTTTAGTATAGTGATTTAGGTTTTTCGATTGGCTCATTGCCATGGTCCCTTTTTAAAGAACTAGCCATTACTCATTCAGACTCTTTTTTGGGTATGACATCATAAAAATCCAATAAATCTTAATTTATTTTCTTGCTTGAACTGCATGTGACTTGCCTAATCTCACTCACAACATCTTTCTTTTTCATATCTTAAAACGGTTTGGGGTGATTCATAAATGATGTCTATTATTTTTGGTAAGTAGGTCTTAGGTTTAAATGACATTAAAACTTAAAAGAAACATTTGTCAAAAATTCCATTTATCGGAAACCGTCATTGATGAATAAACCCCCAAACAAAAACTAGAGTTCATTGTCGAGCTTTTTACAATTCAATAACATATCAATAAATCCAAAATGAATTAAAATCGATCGAACATTTAAAATTTGTAAATGATTTTTAATTCAATATCGATTAAGTCATGCTCATGATGCTTATCAAGCTATTATTTATTTCTTTCACAAATAGATGGAGATTTTGCAGCATATATTGATTTGTGCAATGTTTTAAGGTTTCTGGGATTTTTTGTTGTTGTTTTAATGAACGTTTGCAGACTTGGGATCAGAAAAATGTGTTTATAGTGTCTTTTGGTCATTTGAGCCTAATTGCTTCTTCCAAAGCATCAATTCTTTCGAAAATTTGATTCCACAGAACCTCTAAACCATCAAATTCGTTAAAATAATCCATCATTATTCCCATTAAATTCTGTGCATCCTACATCACATCACAGTATAAATCCCAGTAGATCATCCAGTTAGCAATCACATTAAGCTGTCTTATATTAACTTTGAAATATATCCTGATCCATTACTCACTGCAAAATCAACGAAATTAATGCAATCACAACAAAAGCTATTGCTTTATAATTCATTATTGCCTTAATTTAGGATTATACAATAAGCTAAGCACAACTGAATCAATACATCATTTAATACTGTTTTTTGCAAAATATTTCTTTTCATCTTCTGTTGAAAAGAAATTGCCTATGGCTAGTAGCAAGTCTGTGAACTTTTAAAGCTTCTCTTTTCATGTCAAAAATAATAAGCTGTTGAAATGCTCTTTAAATAGCAATACTAATTAATTAATGATGAGGAAAATAAATGGTAATTGAGCATACAATTACATCTAATTCTATGGCTAAGTACAAAGTGTTTAGTGTTTATTATTATTGGAGATTATTGCTGTGAAATTGATTCGATTTGGGAAGTAGAATTTTTGGTAGTTTCTGAAGTTTTGGAATGGATTTGCAGCTGGGATTTAGCAGTTGCTTGGAGTCATTTCATTGATTCATCTTGAAGCTGCACTCAGGCTTACTTAAAAGATACAAGATTATCTCAATCTCAATTTAAATCATTTCTCAAGTTCCTCCCGAAAAACAACTTCAAGGACAATCTAGCATCAAAACATTCTCGCCTCATCGAACCAAATCAAATTCACCATCCAATACTGGAAGGAAGGATGGATGCATGGCTCTAAGCTTAACAAACGACATTACATGATTAACGAGTTTCAAAGCTGTGTAAAAACCATAAAATAAATTAATGATTGATGTCAAATCTCATCCTTGAGTTTTCAACCGATTCGCTGGTGATGTCAACAATAAATTAAAGTTCATTCAATAGAAGCCAATAAAATGTAAAGGTGTCAATACGAATTAGATTAAGAACAAAGTCGTGAAGTTGTAATTATTTGACGGTCGGCATAGACAATTTTGCACAAGCAGAGTTCACGACTACGAGAAGGACTTGACATTCTGTAAAAGAATTCTTTTGTTACGCGTACGAAATGCTGGAGAAAATGAACAATGCATTGGCCATAACCCATGTGACATGAGACTGAATTCTTATGTTAAACTTGTAACTTAACCTTCTGGGTAGGCTGGAAAATTTAAATAAATATTTTTTAAAAATTCTTAAGTCGATGACAATGTTAAGCATGTTTTCTTAATGCAGCATGCAAGACAAAAGCCAACAGCTTCAAATTCTCATTCATGTCAAAAGTCATTAAGACTAAAAATGCAGTTACACAGCTTATTGCTGTAACCCGAAAATAAAAATTACTTTAATTATGCATCTTTTGAGAGTGCGAAAATAGTAATGTCGATGAAAGAATGAAATGCAACTGGTGCAGCAAGTGAAACAAAAAAAGTGTTTACATCAAGACTGACTGAGATTGAGGCGATAATTTTTTTTACCACGCGCAATGATTTGTAACTCAATGTTTGCAATATTTGCACGATGGAAAAAAATAATAGTAATAGAGTTGTTACTTTTAATAATTATTGTTTCTATCTCTCATGCTTTATGATGAATTGCTTTTACTTGGTTGTCTGGGAAATGAGGGGCTGGTTTTGATGCAGATTGTCTATCTGGATTGATCCATACTTACTACTTTACTTCCTTGGCTGGACCTCTTTTGGTCCATAATTACTACTTTATTTCCTTGGCTGGGGCGCACGTGGTCCCATTGCCACGCTTAGAGATCGTCTGAAGACAGCTCTATCCTTAGACACCTTCTGCCAGTTCGAGATATTAAGGACTCTAGCGTCCTTTTCAACACATCCAATCCACGAGATCTTTGGTCTTCCTCGTGATCTCTTGCCATTCATAAAGTCTGCTACTGTCACTTTTAGTGCTGGGGCATCTTGTGAGCGTCTGAACACATGTCCATCCCATCTCAAGCGATTTACACGGAGAACTTTAGCAAATATTCCATACTTTTTTAAATTACCAAAAATTTTGTGGAATTTTAGATCATTTATTTTTTAAAATGTCTCAGCTAATCGAGGTAAACGGGAGAGTGTGGGTTGGGTTCAAGTTGCAGATGGGTTCGGTTTTGGTAATTTGAACGTTTTCTTCTTTCAGGCTATTTATTACACTTAATAGTCAGAATTGTTTCTATCGTTTAATCAAAATTAACATGAAATTACTACAAAGCTAAGGTTCGAATTCTATAAACTTGAAAAATTTTACTTTGTTTCTTTAAATTTAACAATTTTCATTAGCTTTTCAGTCATTTAAATTCGCTTCTCTCATTCCAACCATCCAAAATCAACTCAACTTGAAAAAAGCATTCCAAAGAAACACAGAAGAAGTAAAAAAAAGACAAAAGAAGTACAATTAATAAAATGTAGGTTAGCAAGCAGAAATTATAAGCTTAATAATTTTTATGATTCCAAACGATTAGCATATCGTGCAAAAATAAAAGATGAAAATTCAACAGCAATAAAAATGGAAATTTATGAATCAAAAATCCATTGCGGTTCTCTTGTAAACAGCCCCGACTGTACTTGAAGGTT